AGATAGATAGATAGATAGATAGATAGATAGATAGATAGATAGATAGATAGATAGATAGATAGATAGATAGATAGATAGATTCACAAATTAAATACAGTTTTTATGTTGTTATTTTTTAGAGAGTCTTTGTACAGTATGGAAATATTTCTGATAAGTTTTAAATGGAAGCTTTTGACCTAAATGTGACAAATGTAAACCACACTCCACAGAAAACACAAAAAAAGCTCTTTAGGTTGCAAGTACCTGGTTTGATCCCAAAAGCCTCCACTCTGGGTTCCGAAACAAAGCCCTTAACCCTACACTGCTCCCCAGGCGCGACACAGTGGCAGCCCTCTGCTCCCCAATGGGATGGGTTAAATGCAAAATGGTACATTTCCCCAATGTGAGATTAATAAAGTTTAATTATTATTATGCTATTCACTTAGGTATAATATAAATTATAAATTTATATTATACAACAGTCAAGTAGGAAAACAAGGTATTTAAAAGAGCTGTTTGTGAAATTAAGTTGTAACATGATTGAAAAGAAAAAAAAAAAAAACAGGGATTAGAGCTGTAAAGGGAAATTTCACTACTTGCATTCAATGATATTGCAGCTAAGTGGAGGGAAATGGTAAAAAGTTGACAGGAAGGACAAAAAACTAAAATGCAACATCTATACTTGCAGTTAGTGAGGTGTTATGCAAAGACTGGTTTACAGCAGTAGCCATTCAAAATTTCCCCAATTTCCTTGACGGGTCCTTGGCTGGTCCTCGACCCTTTTAAACCCTTTTAAACATCAATCTTTGCACTAAAATATTCTTTCTGTCATAATTTGTGGACATTAAGATCTAAAGAGAAGCGTCATCTCCTGGTCAGACCCTGTGATTTACTATAAAGATAGAGTCAGAGTAAAAAAAAAAGCAAGCCCAGAGGCTAGAAGTTGGAGGGAATTTGGCGGAGAGGGGAGTAGGCTGCCATTTGGCTATTGTTTGAATGGCTGCTACTGTAGATTAGAAATGTTCTCTAAATCTTTAGCTCTTGAAATATTAGCTGTTTTCAGTATTAGATTGTAAACTGTCACTTTAAAATCCAATTTGGCATAAAGCTTAAATACTGCAACATTACATTGATTCAGATGATATAAGGACACAGGAAAATTGTAAAAATAAATAAATAAATAAATAAATAAAAAACATCTAAATAGTCTTTCAACTAGATTTTTAAAGGGAATTTTGCTCCATGATAACTGCTTCAACTGTCATCAAGTGATAGCGATAGTTTATCCAACTTTGTTCCATTTTAAACATTTAAAGTGAAGCATATCACCATAAACATTATGCAGAAGAACACATAATCTTAACACAAGTTAAGTTAAAAACTTCAAGTTAAAACATATGTTTTAAGTTTTAAGCTAATTATAATGAAACAGATATAGAATGTGGTACTTATTGAAAGATTTAGAAAATCATTTTGATGCCAAATACAAGACTGAAATCCAAAACAGAAGGTCAATGACCAGAAACTAAAACAAAGAAAAAAAGAAGATATGAAATATTAGACCATATTGTCTGTTCTTCTATTTTTCTGGTTCTTAAAATAAGTGAATGGACTGTACAAACTGTTTTTCGGACAATAACGCCGAAGAAAGTGTTGCAAGTTAAACCAAAAGCTGATTTAAATAAAAATTTTAAATACAAAGTCACTGAAAAAATACAATAAGTTTGAAATTAGATTTAAAGATTAACAGTTATCAGGCATAGGCGTACGTTAAATTGGAATACTCCTATGCCTCCATATTTTTAAATATACATAAACTAAGCTTTTAAGCAATTTCTTTTAATGGCTCTTAGAGGAACCAACACTTGTATGACCAGTGATTCTGGATACATACATACTAAATTCTACCTCCCTGAATAAATATAATCAGAGGTTGCATCAAAGCATGCATTTTCTCTAAGGTTTTGTGAGATTTTGATGCTACAATAAAATATGCACATATATCAATGGTGAAATACTGTCTTTGTACATATTTCTTTTAAAACATTCCATTAGGAATTTGCAAGGCATCTCAGCTTCCTTTTTTGTTAAAGAGGATTACTAATTCATCAAAAACAAGAAATCTATTATTATATAATAAAAGTACAATGGACTACTATTATGTTCAATCAATATATTTTTCTCAAGATCATGTTCATTTCATCTAAACATTCCCAGTAAATTCCACAAGTAAGGATTAAGTATATTATGCATAAATGATGAGCATAGCATTGATTCTAATGAGCAGCTGCAGACAGTGTCTCATCTGAGAAAATAGTGGAGGAGGAATTTTCTGTGTGGTGTAGTTTTGAAAAACTCATGAAGGAAGACAAAAGTGATTTGATTAGTGTTGTGTTTTGGACACCCACAATGTTAATTGCATACAGAATAAGATTGTAGCTCTCAGTTAGCAGGAAAACCTGCCAGCCTAATCAAGATCATCTGTGCTGTAATAAAAACCCAGTTGCACTTAATTTACTCCTTTCTGCATAGTTTTGTAACAGCAGGATTCAAGGTTCGAAGTAGCAGGACTGAAAGGATTCCTATTTACATTGCCTGGTCAGAGATCAGGCAATGTATCAGAGATTGCTTTTTTTTTTGGAGATAAAAGAAGAGCATGAGTCCAGACCTTTGTCAACCATATGGCTGATTAGCCTCTGCTGATTAAAAGCCCTTTATGGCTCTTCAAGGAAGCTCTTGACACCTCACAAAAGTTTTGGTTAAGTCTGTCTGAGCCCCCCATGTGGTCACATACAGAAAGGTGTTAAAATGCACACAATGAAGACCCCAGAGATACATCGGCACTGGTGATAAGGGGGCTCTGCATTACCATGTATAAAGCATAAAAAAACCCATCCAATTTGCATATGTGTGACATGTAAAAGAGTAATTTTCTATCTCAAATACAAGCGTCTGCTGTTATTGGCAGGACTACGAGGCAGAATTACAGAAAAAACAATAACAAAATGCTCAAACAATGTAGTAGAGCAGGCCAATTTAGAGCTTAAACTAAGTGATTTCCATGTTGAATTTGGAACGAGCTACAATGGGATGGCATAACAGCAGAAGTGGATACTTAGAATTTGTTCTCAAGTCCATGAGTGCCAGTTAAGAGAGTGATTTTGCTATATTGAAATGCATTGCAACAAACTTGAACTTTTTTATGTTTTGCCAAGTCTCAGTATATTCTACTAGGATTTTTGTGTGAGATCAAATATAAGGACTTAAATGTTCAAGTCTTTCCAGATTTTAAATAGGAATGGGTTTCAATTTTGGTTTGGTCAATCTAACAATAAAATGCTTTGATCTTTACAATTCCACTGAGCTCTGGATGTATCATGAAGGTTTTTCTCCTGCTGGAAGGTAAACCTTTAACCTAAGCTTAACTTTTTTGAATCCTCTAAAAAATGTTCTTTCCATATATTACTGAAGCTAGCTCTTTCATCTTCTTATAAACTCTGACCAGCTTCCTTGTCCACATTGAAAAAGGGAATTTGCACAGAATAAAGCTGTCACAATGTTTCACAAAAGAGAAACATTGTTTTCCTTTCCCTTCACAAAAATATTTCAATTTTTAGGCCTTTATAATCATAAAATGAGAACATGTAAAACCTTTTTTTTTTACATTTAAATAATCTTTAAAGACTGAGTATACCAACCAAATATCACCTCCAATAGCAAATAGGCCAAATGAAACACAAGTTGTTCATCTTAGCAGGATGATACTTTCTTTGGCTACTTAAACTTGCACATTGTTTATCATGTGGGGTTTAAAATAAATGTTATATACAGAAATGTGTTTTTTTTCCTAGATATGTTTATTTGTCCTTTATTGTTCCTGTTTTTTCAGCTTTTAAAAAATCAAGCTCATGCTGAAAAGGAACCAGCAGGGGACAAAACATCAGACACATTTTTACCATCCACAGACACACAAAGCCTTCAGCTCAATAGTCCCATGCTGGCTGGGTGCTGAAATTCAAG